GACATTTGAGTAAATCAAGATGAGAAATGAATGAATGAATCAACAACAAACCCTTTGAAATATAGTACATACTTTGTGCCAGGAATTGTGCTAAATGATTTGCACATACTATCCATTTGATCTTTGTAACAACTGCAGGAGGTGGGTGCTATTATTGCTCTTCAGTTTGCAGGTGAAGAAACTGAGGCAAAAAGAGGTTAATGACTAGTTTAGCTAGTAAGCATGTGAGGCTAGATTTGAACTGAGACCTTTCAACTACAGGCCAAGTGTTCTATCCATTGTTCCATGTAGCTGTTTTGGTGATTAGACAGCAGTTTATCTGAAAAAAAAAACCAATTTGGGAAATCTTATTAGACTTCAGGCTTGACATAAATCAGCAGCACAATATGGCAGCCCATGGAGGTCAGAAATGGCTTCCTATAAGGTAGAATTTGAGCTTGGTATTAAAAAAGACCAAAGAAACTAGGAGGAAAGAAAGCATTAAAGCTGTGGGGGAGGGAAAGGGGAAGGAGAGAGCCAGTGTGAAGGTTCAGAAATGGAAAATGGAGTCCCATGTGGGAGGAACTGGAGTATAGAGTGTGTGGAAGGAAATGAGATAGAGGAAAACTTGTACATATCATGTGCCAAGCACTGGGTTAAGTGCTGGGAGATGCAAAGACAAACATAAATTTAGTCAATGTGCTCTAGGGGTTTATATTTAAATGGGGTGGGGAAGAGACAACACATACATTTACATATATATGAATAGACAGATATACATACATACCATATATATATTTATATAGACATATACATACATAGCACACACACACACACACACACTCATACACACACACACACACACACCCCAGATGTAAAGTGAGGACATTAGCAGCTATGGAGATCAGGTAAGGTCTGATTCTACAAGGTGGCACTTGAGCTGAGCTGAGAATTCTAGGAGACTGAGGCAAGGCTGGGGTACAATACCAGGGAGGAGTGCCATGTATGAGGAACAGCAAAAAGCCCCGTTCACCATAGTGTGCTTGGAAGGGAATAATCTGCAGTAAGGTTGTAAAGGTAGGTTGGGGCCAGGTTGCGAAGGCCTTTAAAAACCTAGCAGAGGAGTTTATGTGTATTTGATTCTGAAAGTAATATTGAACCAGAGTTTGTTGAGTAGGAGAATGATATGTTCAGCTTATCACTTTAGGAAAATCACTTTGGTTGTTGTCTTTTGTGCTTGAAAAGGACCAGAGTGATAGCACTATGTCAGGGTGAAGGTACAGTGTGTCTGACTGTGGCTGGTCAGTCCAATCACTCTCTGCCTGTGTGGAGAATGAATTGGAAAGAGAAGACTGGAAACAGGAATATTGTAAAATTCCAGGTAAAACAGTGATGGAGGCATGCACTAGTATACACGGATGAAGAGAAGGGAACACCTGTGAAAGCTGATATGGGGCAGCTAGGTGGCACAGTGGATAATGCTCTATCCTCTTTCTAACTGGAGTTAGAAAGACATGAGTTCAATTCTGGCCTGAGACACTTACACTTACTAGCTGTGTGACCCTGGGTAGGTCACTAAATCCTGATTGCCTCACAAAAAACACCAAAAGAATGAAAGAAAGCTGATGTAAAGTAGGAAGTGATTACACAAGTAATTAGATGTGAGGTTCAGGGAAGAGTTAGGAATGAAGGAACCCACTGAGGTTGTGAACCTGAGTGCCTGAAATGGTGATGGTTCCCTCAACAGAAATAGGGAAGTACAGAAGAAGGAGAGGTTTGGGTGAGGAAGACAGTGAATTCAACGTTGGAAGTAATGTGTTTGAGATGTCTACAGTAGCATTAAGGGTGGTGTTTATGCTATTATTTAGTTCATTTCATGATCTGGAGTGGAAAGAATCCAGGAATTTGGTCAGGATTCCTGAGTCCTAGGTTAGTCTGAGACTTAACCATTCCTGACTTTAGGTGAGTCACTTAATCTTTTCAGATTCTTCATGTATAAAATGAAAGGAGAGGACTGGACAATATCTAAGATCCTTTGACCAACACCTTATGACTTGTGAAATCAGATTCAGAACAATGGCAAAAGATTAAAATTTCCCAAGCATTTTGCCAAGCCCTTTCTTCAGCTCTTCACCTGCATTGAAGGGGAGTTTCTTTTCTTTCTCTCTTTTTTATTTTTGAGGGGATTCTGAGGCAGAGCATTAGCTACTTCGGCAGCAGAGTTAGTTGTGTTATGAGATCAAGAGTTATGTGTTAGTGAATGCAATTTGTGAGATTGGCATCAATGAAAGTGAGAGTAAAGCATTTTGATGGGGATCTAAACTTTGCAATATATCTGTGAGGCCTCATGGCATTAGCTTCTATTTTCTCAGAAAGGTATTTAATGAAAGCAGCATGAATTAAGTCCATTGCAAGCAACATCAGTCACTTTCTTCTTCCAGGGTTCCATTATGAAGGATTTTGAAGCAGAGGATGAAGAATTTGATATCCTGATAAAGGTCCTATGGAAATAAGATTATAGGCAAAAATATAGTTCCCAGGATAAGGGTAGTGAGGTGAAATCCTTATTGTATCTCTGGAATCAGAGGGTGATATCTGAAGGTAGGAAGGTGTAATGTATTCAGGGAAAGGACATGACATGTTGAGATGTAGTATGTATGTATCATGTGTGTATGATAAAGGTATCAAAGGCTCAAATTAAGTACAACTCTTTTGACTCAACAATCATTTCTCAATAAATAGCGATCCCACATAGCATCTTTCCTTAGGGAAAAAAAGAAAGCTAGGAAAAGCCATTTGATATAGGGATTGCTACTGAGCTTATGTATCTTTCTGTTCTTATTAAGTATGCCTCTTGTTCGGTCATTTCAGTCAAGTCCGACACTCTGTGATCTCATTTGGGTTTTCTTGGCAAAGATATTGGAGTGCTTTACTATTTCCTTCTTCAGATCATTTTATAGATGAGGAACTTAGGCAAACAGGATTAAGTGACTCGCCCACTGTGAAAAATCGTACATGCCTGAGGCTGGATCTGAAGTCATGAAGATGACTCTTCTTGACTCCAGGCCCAGAACACTATCTACTGAGCCACCTAGTAATCCACAAAAAGACAAGAAACAGAGACTCTCACTCTTTCATCCCTGAGTGAAGTAGGGAGACTATAATTTCAGTCTAGCCAGAAAAAAAAATAATCCTTTAGGCTCCTTGGGTGAAACGATGCACAGGTACAAAGTAACTTACTCTACAACCATTTGGTGTCCCAATAATACACACACACACACACACACACACACACACATAAATATACATATACATATATACACACATATACATATATATACATATACATACACACATATATATGTATACATATATAATATATATATTATTTATATATACATATATACGTGTGTGTGTGTGTGTGTGTGTGTGTGCGTATGTGTGTTGAGTGGCAGGAATTGGGCAGTAGAAGGGAACTGTCAGACATTGCTCATAATTAGCCATATGTACTCTCCTACTCTAGAATATTTCACCAGGAATAATATAGGAATAAACTGAGAACAGCAATACCCCACCACATTGGAATCTGGGAGTTTTGCCACTCTTTTGTGTAGATATTGTCTCCCTCATTATAATGTAATGCCCTCTTTGAGGGCAGGAGCTGTTTCACTTTTGGCTGTGTACCCCTGGTGCTTAACACAGAGCCTGGTAAGAGCTTAATGACTGCTGGTGGCTTGGCTGATTGTTACTCTCTTCTCCCTCACCTCTATCATGCTGTTCTCTACTGGTTCTTCTTCATGCCTGATTTTTGCTTCTCAATATTCTTTTACTGGGTCACTATCCACCTTCAGTCTCCTCAGTGTGAATATCTCCAAGACTCTATCTTTGGGCCTTTTTAATATAACCACGACTTTGGCCACTATCTCTCCTCTGACCCTGATGGAGACAGCCCAGGCCCTTGAGTCTAAGACCTTGGGAATAGCAGTGTCCTCCTCACCTCCAAATCCCTTCTAGGCCAATCTCTCCAGTTCTCATTAAGAGGATAAATCACTGTGTAGAACCACTGATGGCCAGCTACCACCAACCGGTAGATAAGTACAAGGGACAAAAGGGTGGCAGCAATCTCTGGACCCTTGGTCCTAGTCTAGTGCTCACAGCTCTTATCTGGGGAAGCAAATCCTATGGAGAAGGGGCCGGCCATCATGACCAGTTGCTTGCCAATTACTAGCTAATTGTTATTCATAAGGCAGATGAGAAGCCTGCCTAAAGCAGTGGGGCATCCTGAGGGAGAGAGAAGAGGCAATATATGCCAGTCAAGGCAACCTACCATCCCCACCTTGACATCATCTCTCCTTTGACAACCCAGAACCCTGAACCTAAGAGCATTTGGAATAGCAAGACTTCCAGCCCAGTGTTGGCAAACTTCATCCTGGGATAAGTGATTGAAATAAATAAAATAAATAAAATAAAATAAAATAAATAAAATAAAATAAATAAAATAAAATAAAATTTAAAAATAGACGTAAAGAAGTCTGAAAGCAAAAGCTGGTTCAGATGAGGCGATGAATAGGGATTTAGAAATGGGAGATGATGTCGTTCGGTAGGAAGAGCACAATATCTGGTACCAGGAGAGAATTAGCTTTGAATTCCACTTCTTGATCCTTTGTAGTTATGGCATAAATCAACTAATTTTCTTGAGCTTCAGCAACTTTGTCTGTAAAATGGGAATTATCCTATTTGCACTTAGGATTCTTATGTGGATGAAATCAGATGCTTCATAACAGGTGGTTTATTTTCAACCTCACTGTGCCACATAAATATCAGCTAGAATGTTGGCTAGAGGGGAAAGCAGGAAAGTCAGGTCCTACCTAAAGGCAGGCAAGCCTTCCTTTTGATCACATCAGCAATGTTAAAGTCTTTCTCTCTTTCTCCTGTTAGAATTACCATGTGACCCCACATTCTTTTTGGATATGCTCCTGCAATGTGATCTGCTCTATCATTTTCCAGAAATGTTTTGAATGCAAAGACCAGAAATTTCCATATTTAATGAAGCTTTTAGGAGAAAATTTAAAGATTGTAAGTTCCCCATGGATGCAGGTAAGGCCACTGTTGTCTCATTTTGGAGTTCAAAATTTTTTTTTCCCTTTATTTCTAAGAAAGTACTGCAAGGAGCTAGAGTTCATTATGTATTCCATTGGAAGGCACAACAGTGCCATGCTGGTTTGGGTTCATATTTTCTTCTTCATTGACAGTGACTAAAGACAGAGAACATCACCCCTATGTGTTCTGATTTGAGGGACAATACAAGGCCTCTTCTTCCAGTAGTTCACCCACTGATCACAGGGACTAAATGTCAAAATTCATGTTATTACAGAGAAACTGACTTTTCCCTTGAGCACCTAAGCTTGGATCAGGTTAGCAAATGTGTTAGCTGTCCCAGTGGAAGATTTCAGGCAGAACTCTTAGAAGACCTCATAATGAGAAAGGATGAGAACTTTTCTGTCAGAAGTAAGGATTCAGCGTGAAGGCCAAGGTAGTCTCAGTCAACCAAGAAGCAGAATACTAAAGTTTTTTAGGAGGTTTGTATAGGAAATGGTGAGAAAAGTTACTATTTTGCAAAGGGCATTTTTACCCTTACTGAGCCCTCTTCTCAACATGATCCAAGTGCTGGAGTAGAGAAGTATTGTCTTTCTCCAATAAAGTATGATATAAAATTCTTCTTCTTAGGTCTACAATTCTTTTCCATCTCTAATACATTATCTCCCTGGATCTCATCATAAAGCAATTAAAAATTTCTATTTACTACATGAATTTGTTTTGGAAGAAGTGAAGGAGCACTGAAGGACAATGGACCCCAGCAATCCTTGGGACTTCATTGACTGTTTCCTGATGAAAATGGAGCAGGTAGAGTGTGAGCAGTAGGTCTTAATCTCAGTTCTTGTAGGTGAAATGGCTTGTGTATTAGACGCTGACACTCATATTCAGAAACATAGAGCAGTAAGTAATCATATATTAATCACAGTGTGATCAGGGCACTAAATGGGGCAGACAAAAGAATCAGATGATAGGGTCCTAATCATAATGGAATTTCTAACCCAACAGAAAGAAGGAAGCACATGTAAGGACAAGAGAATAATTATCAGGAATTTGTAAGGAAAACCAAAATAGTTTATAAATTGAGGATTTAAGTGATGAAGGTATTTGGAATTAGCAAGAAATGTAACATTTGGGTAGCCTTATCCTAAGGCTTCCTTCTGGAAGGGTTAGGTTTTGATCTGGGTCTTGAAGAAGGCAGTGAGCACTGGGCAGGACATATCAGGATTCTCCAAAGACAGTGGGTATAGGGAACTTTAATCTGAGCAGCCTGATTGGAATGGACGGGCTGCTGTGGTAGTTACTTGGGGGGAGGATGGTGGGTTTTACAGTCAAGATGATGGAGTTAGAGGCTGCTCACTTTTCAGGCCATGTACAAACAACAAAGAGCAAAATCAAAGGGAAGAAAAATTGTTGCAAAGTTACATAAAGAAAAAAAATCAACCAATTTGGAAACAAAACTAGAACAAAGGAATATTCTGATGTAATTCTTATGGAATAAATGAAGCCCTGGAAGTACCAGAAATATGCAAGAAGGTAAAAGATATGTTGGTGGACATTATGAAATGGATCAATGACCCACTTAAAGGAGTGAAGTATAATTTGAGGTCACCACTTATGGTTTTCTTACCAGACCAACCAGACAACACATTAATTCAAATTGAAACACATTTAATTCAGCAATATAGCAACATAAACGACAAGGAAAATTCTATTTTCCTCAGAGTATGCCTGTAGGATATATTCTCCCACAGATTCCTACCCATTTGGAGGATGAGGGAATGTTGGAGAGGGCAAATATGTAGACCACAGCAAGAGATTTTTAGAACAATTACGTGGTCTCTTTTAATGCTCTCTATTTCATCTATGAGAATATGAATAATGCCATATGCTTTTTCCCCCCTGATGACCCACAATGGCAGTAGACCTTAGCTGGCTTGAACTTGAATTATGTCCTCTAGTGCTTGCCCACTTTCCCCATGTTTTTACTTTTCTCATCTTTAGTCCGCTAGGTATTTCTTATATATTCAATTTCTGACCTCAGTGGTGACTTTCCCTCAATACCAATATCTCATGGTCAAGGACAAACCATTTAGAGTCTCAATTTCCTCATCAGTAAAATGACAGTAGTAATACACTACCTATATCACAGTATTTTGATGAAAATGAAATGGGAAAATATACATGGATCTCTTTTGTATAAATTGTTATATACATGTATATATATGATATATATATATATATATATATATATATATATATATATATATAAAATATATATATACACATATACATGTAAGTTGATAATTTTTCATTCCTCATTTGTTAAACCAATAACTCTTTCTTATCTCACTAAACTCACATACACTAACAGGATTTATTTAGCATAGTAAATCAGGAGAAAAATATAATGTTATATTTATTTATACAGTGCTCATTTATTTGTTCTTTAGCCAGTTCAGTTGTCTCAGACTCTTCATGATGCTATTTGAGGTTTTCTTGGCTAAGATACTGGAGTGTTTTTCCATTTCCTTCTCCAGGTCATTTTACAGATGAGGAAACTGAGGCAAACAGGGTTAAGTGACTGGTCCAGGCTCACAGAGCAAGTAAGTGTCTGAGGCCAGATTTGAGTGCAGGAAAATGAGTCTTCCTCACTCTAGGTCCAGCACTCACTCCACTGTACTACCTAGCTGCTTGTATATATCCACAGATATTCTTGATATATGCTATATAGAATGACACAGTATAGTTGTGTCAAACATGGATAGAAATGGATCCTGGTAGGCCTCATATTAATTTAGAAAATCCAGAAATTAACATTATCTATATTGTTTTATATCTTTATTTTGTTAAACATTTCCCAGTTACATCTGGTTTGTTCCACATACAGTTTTGTTGCTTGCCTGTGGCCTTAGGGCTGAGAGATTGACCCCCACCCTGTGATGTAGTATATAAAGAAGTGCCCTCAGAGCCAGGCAAAATGGAGTTCAAGTCCCATCTCTGACACAAATTGTCTATATGATGCTGGATAAATCACTTAGCCTTATAGTGACCTAAGACTAGGTAACTCTTGAGGCTTTAAGGGTTTTTTTTTTTTATAGAAAGTGCAGATTTGCCTTGGTAGAGAGAATTTTTTACCTGGAAATTCTCTGTGCAAATGAAATTGCAGATCTAGTCTCTGTCTCTGTCTCTCTGCTATATGTAATATCCACAGTGGTCATACCGCCTTGATAATTGCCATCTTCTTGTTCCACTTTAAATTGTGTTGGTCAAACTTAATTTATATATAAGATCATAGATTTAGAACTGAAAGACATTTTGGAGGTCATTGAATCCAACCTCCTCATTTTTTTAGATGATGAACATGAAACATAAAAAGATTAAATCACTTGCCAAGGTCAAATCAGAGCTGTGGGATTAGGAGGTGGCAGCAGCTAGGTGTCACAGTGGATAGAGCATGGGCCTGGAAGTCAGTAGGGCTCGAGTTCAAATCCCATCTGATACATTTACTGACTGTGGGAACCTGGGCAAGTCACTTAACCTTGATTTCTGCCTTTCCTCCAAAAAAAATCACAACTTGGATTCTAACCAAGGTCTTCTGACTTCAGATTCATCATGCTTTCTGTTGTGCCCTGTTGCCTCACTTACTTTTCAACTAATCACACTGAATTATTCCTAGGAAAAGCAACAACTACAATCTGAATTTACCTTGGTCTGTATTGCAACTGACCTACTTACTGCTGGAACAGAGACAACAAGCACCACCTTGAGATATGGACTCCTGATTCTCCTGAAATACCCTGAGATAGCAGGTGGAATTAGAGGCTGATAATACACATAATTTAGTCAGCATGAGAGGGGTTGTATACTCTCTCCCACTGAGTCAAAGAATCTTAGAGTAAGATGGAACCTCAGGCTAACCTCATTCCTGAGAAGAGGTCACAGAACTTTAGAATTTGAAGGGGTTTCGGTAGTCATACTGTCCATCCCCAATCTGAAAAAGAATTCCATCTGCAGGATCCTCTCCTTGTCGACATCCAATCTTAGCTTGAAGACTTTCAGTGAGGGGAAATCACTCAATAGAATGCTGTGGCATTCCATTCTAATCTTACAGTCTTAATTTGAGGAGATTTTTTTTCTTGCATTAAGCCTACATTTGCAATTTTGTAACTTTAACCTATTGCTCTTGGTTTTGTCCTCTGGAATAAAATAGGACAAAATTGCTCTCTCTTTCTAGTAACAGGCCATAAAACACTTGAAATCTGCTATTATGTCTCCTGTTCTATTATGTCCTCTGTTCTCTTGTCTAAATATCCCCATTTCCTTCAACCTATCCTCACATGGCATGGACTTGTTATTCTTACCATCCTGGTTGGCCTGCCTTCAGTAGCCTCCAGCTCTTCAATGTCCTCCTAAAATATGACTCCTAGAAGGAATACAATCCTTATTTGTGAGCTGAGGAGCTGCCTTTGAACCTTCAATAATTACCCTTTGTATATGGGCAGTCAATCCATTTTAAATCCACCTAATTGTATGACAGGGTAACCTGCTATTTCCATCATTTTCAGAGGAAGAACATGAACATCTTTATCAAAAGTTTTGCGAAAGTCTAAGGAAACACCATCTGAAGCATTCTCCTGATCTACCAGTTCATCAACACCCACAAAAAAGAGAAATAATCATAATCATAAATAATCATACTTCCTTATCTAGAGTCATTTCCTTATTCCTTTCTTATCTAGATTAATGATCTCTTTAGAAATACACTCCTGGGTCTGAGTGAAAATTGAAGTGTACTTTCACTTTATTTTTCTTGCTCAGGTGTCTAGGTGCTTTCTTATTTTCTCCTTACTTCTCTGTGGTATTCAGTCTCTATTAGCTATATTTATTTATCCTATCCATTTCATTTAAAAGTTCATTCCATTGGACAGAACAAAAAAAAGAAGGAAAAGAAAAATTGAGAATTTCTGTATCTTTTCTTGTCCCTTGTCATCCTCATCCTTTAACTCTCTGAGTTGTGGGGTCATCTTTTCTTTAATCCTCCCCTTTTCCACAATATAGTTTTTAAAAATCTCTTCTTGTTGCCCTTTGTTTGCCTTACCAGCTTCTGTTCATTCTGGGCTTTACCACTTCTGTCATTCTTATGGACCTGTGACATACTTCTTTTACTCATCCTTGTCTTTGAAAAATCCAAGTTGAATTTTCAACAATAATAATAATAATAAATAGCTATTGTTTATAAAGTACTTTGAAGTTTGCTTTACATAGATTATCTCATTTAATTTTTATAACTCTGTAGGAGTAGATGACATTATTATCTCCATTTTACAGGTGAAGAAACTAAATCTTAGAGACACCACCTGGCTTTCCTGGGATTATGCAGCTAGTAAGTGTCCAAGTCAAGATTTCTACTAAGGTCTTCCTGACTTCAGATCTGTAACCTCTCCATTACACCACCACCTTATCCACATTGGTATCTTTAGAGAATGTTCTTTTTCCTTCCATCATCAGAATTGTATTTCTATGTGCTTTCAGTAACTAACTCTTGTCGTTCTTGGTGATAATAATAATAGTCGGCATTAAGGTTTGTGAAGCATTTTACAAGTATTGTTTGTCTTTATCTTCATAACAACCCTGAAATGTAGGCAGTGTTATTACTCTTATTTTACACATGAGGAAACTGAGTCTGAGACAAGGTAAATGATTTGGCCAGTGTCATATATCTAGGGAGTATTTGATGTCAATCAGGTCTTTCTGACTCCAAGGCCTGTACTCTATCCATTGGGCCACTTAATTGCCTCTATTATAAACTTTAAGATGGACTGGTCACTTTCCACAAAATTCCCATCATTATAACCCATAGGTGTGTACAGAAAGTGTGCCAATGTGATAGCATACTTGCAAAATGTTGTGCCACAGGGTTTCTGCAGATCTATATTCACATCTATTTTATCCAAGTTCCTCTCAGATGTGAGAACTGGATCAATGAAAGAATTGCCCCTTTTCAGTTCTGCTACATTTGCTTGATAAAATGATCATTAAGAAAATTCAGGGAATTATGAACTGCTCTGTTTTTGACAGAAGGGATGCTCAAGATCCTAGTGAATAATTGGAGTCTTCCATCACTGCTACATCATGTCTCACCACCAGGCTTTATAATCTGTCTCCTGTATTCCTTGTCTATTTCTTCTTTCTGTACAAGTAGTCTGTGGAATACACTCATGGCAATGTCACTCTTGGTGTTGCCTCCAATTCTCTGTATCTAGATGCTTTTCATCACTCTTTTTTCTGCTTCCTAAATAGCCTCACATAAGTATATCTTCTTAATATATACTACTCCACCCTCTTTTTCCTATTCTAATTTTTTTTAATAAGATACACTCTTTCCAGAGCTTCATTCTGGTAAAGGGTTTCATCCTACCAACTCCTAGTTATAACTTTGAGGTAAAATTTGCTTCCTTGTGTTAAAATCTCTAGTCCAACTTGTTTTTGTTTTTGTTTTTTTTAGCCACATGATAAGCATTGAAAAACCCTTTTGACTGTATTTGCCAGAAATCAAAAGAATAATCTTTCTAGCCTTTGTTAGATGTATCATTCCATTCCTGCATAGGAGTCCATCATTTCTATATTTTTATTAAGATGTGGTACAGAAATCAAAATCCCATTGTGAAACACCCTTTTACAAGATGTCCACTTCTGAAATCTGCCTTTCCTTTCTGAATCTTTTGCTTCCAATTACAGCCATAATGAACACACACCACCTGTAGTCATTACTCCTAAGGTCTTCAGGTTTTTGTTGTTGTCTTAAATGTCATAACCTTTGGAAATTCTTCCCAGTTCCTTGTGGGAGTGTTATTTTTGTCCATGCAAATCACCAGAGGTGGGTAATAATCATCCCCTTTTTCAAATCATGGGTGGTTCTTCGATATATGTTTGATATGTGCTCTGAGAATGTCTGATCTATTTATTTTTGTCATTGTCAGCAAATAACTGCTTCAGTATCCTTCCACAGGGAGTCACCAACCAGTACTCTTCTCTTCTTCCTGGATATCTTACCAGATAATACCTGTGAACTTTACCATTCTTTAGACTACAAGCGCATGCTTCTTCCCCAGAACATCTAATTTCTTCATCTTCAAGAAGAGCTACCAATCTCTTGCCTTATTCTTCTATGTGACATATTTTTATTCTTCAAAATCTTGACACAAGTCTGAATTCATTTCTACCTCTCCAGATCATTTGGCATCTGCTTCAACTTATCCAATTGGTGCGCTTATTGTCCACCCATGCGGCTCTTCCTTCCTTTGATGGATCTAATGGTCAAAAGTTATTTTATTAACTTTTATCAACCTGAGATCTGCCTCCTTGTGTCTTTTACTGATCAGTACTGCTTCTGTCCCATAAGATGTCAAAATTCAGTTTCATTTTTCATAGAGTTTCTAATTTACTATCAGTATAGGCATTTAAAAAATATTGGCTCTTTCCATACTTAAAAATGATGAGTTTTGACTACATGATAGTTCTAAGTTTTCTTTCAGCTCTAACGTTCTTTGGTTCTTACTTTCTTTTTCTTCTTTTGTATCGGCTCATTTCAAGGAACCACCATAATACCAAAGTTATCTTCTGCTTTGTATGATGATGAAGAGTTTCCCAATCTGTACGAGTTTGACCCAGGTCACTTCTTGGATGAAAGTGGCAACTTCAAGAAGAGCCACTATTTCATGCCTTTTTCAGCAGGTAAGACATTCATCTAAATAAGTGCATCAAAGATGGATTGACAATTCAGAGGACCTGTGTTTCAGTACAGCTTTGCTACTTCTTACCTATGTGACATTGGTCAAATTATTTCATTTCTCTGGGCTTCAGTTGCTTTATATGTGAAAAGATTGTGTTGGACTAGGTGACCATGGTCCTTCCAAGTTAAAAAACCAGAGAGTAGGGTGGAGGCATAGTACATCATTCTTCTAATCTCCTTGGGCCATGGTTCATCAACTAAACTAAATCAATTGGGTTTCAGGTTTCTTGTCTGAGCTTATTCCAAAAAAGAGGAAAGAACTGAGATAATGACCACTCTTTTCTGCATCCAGACCCACAACCAAAGTCCCTTTGATATTAAAAACTATCCTCCCTGGCACCTCAACCAGGATCTACTTCTCAAATAAAGTCTTCTAGGCTTTTACATTAACATGGTACAATCTTGTATCTTATCAAGCCAAGAAAGGGGATTGGGTTATCTTAAAGGCCCATTACTCAGGTACCATTACGGCTAAGGCAACCAAAGGTCTTATCTTAGAGTTTGCCATTTTGTAGAAATGTGAGTGCTGACTAGGTGACATAAGTATGGAACCTCTTTTCCCAGTTACATAGATATTAATGGGGATCTATTGGGTACAGAATTATAGCTGATACTCTGTCTTGTCCTTTTATCTTCAATTTTTAGGATAACCTATTGGTTATCTGATAATAGTAGTGATAGCCAAGTCTAGGTCTGGCAGACATGAATTTTGGCAATATCCCTGACATTGTGGTCTCCAATGCCATGGTCAATTTGTTCTAATAGTTGGGCTATAGCTAGGAGAGAATGGTGGGTTTTTTTGGTAAGTGGTTGGTCATGAAGTTTCAGGGTATACTCCAGAGGGGTTTTCTGTTCAAAATGGTGACAAGAGGTTCCCAAAGGGAACTTTGATCATTCTTCTGTCACCTTGAACCATTGTAGTTACTCTGGGTAGCCATACACTTAGTTTTTGAGATTATAAATGAGTGATTATTTTCTCCCTAAGACAATGACTACTTTCCTCTAAATATAAGTTGCAGGATTTGCTCGGCTTAGGGGGATTGATTTTAGAGAGAGGATACTGGATCAGTCCTCCTACTCTATTCAAGAGGAACTGGCTCTTCAAAGGAGTCAAGGACCAGAGAGGAAAGGAATGCATGAAGTTTTCACCTAAAGCCACTGAGTGTTAGTGGCCTCTCTCTAAGTCTAAAGAAGTGGTCTAGATGATTTAGAAGTCTACAAATATCAAATCCTTATGTTTGTCTCTTTCAGGAAAATGGATATGTGCTGGGAAAGCATGGCTCAGATGGAATTATTTCTGTTTTTTGCTACCATCTTACAGAATTTTACCTTGAAATCTCCCATTGACCCCAAAGATATTGACACCTACCCAGTTGTCAATGGATTGATCCAACTACCCCCTCCTAGGAGCTTTGCTTTCTATCTTCCTAAAACATGTGAAGGATCACTTTGGTTTCAACTTCTCTAGAGTCTCTTCATATGCAATGAACAAGCTGTATTCATTTCATGGCAATCAAACCCCTCTATGATTTCAGCCCAACATACCCTTCTAGCTTAATCTAATACACCCTTTGACTTTTGCAAAAAATCATGATTTAATTTTCACCAACATTCCCCAGAAATTCCATATTCCTGGAATATTTCTTCTGTTCTCTTCAACTCTAAGAAATTAAAATCCTATCCACCTTTCACATTGCAAGTTAGATGTCATATCCCTGTGACCTATTTAGTACTTATAGTTTGCATTACACAATTATTATAACTACCACCACCACTACTACTACTACTACTAGTATCACAACTACTACATATTTCACCTGCCTACTATAATTGCATTAAAAAAATACAGGACACATTTGAATAGTTCAGTTTGACTGAAGCATAGAGCACTTAGAGGATATTAATATAAGATAAGCCTGGAAAGGAAGAGAAGACTTGCATCTTTGTTTACTCAGTAAACAAAAAGTAAGCTCTACATTGACCTGATCTATGCAAAAGGGAGGTTAGTTTGACAGAATGTGAGGAATGTATTTTATGGGGAGGGATGGCTTTCACAGCAATACATAGTCAAGGAGGCCAGGTTGTTTCAGGATCTGGAAAAAAGAATCATTTGACACACACATTACAAAGATTGATTTAATGAAGGCAGTAGACAGGATCCTACAGGTACTCAATTCCAATTAATTATACATCTGCCTGAGAATTTTCAACTGGGGTATATAGAATTGTTCAGCTGGCAAATTCAATTCCTTCTGAGCCAAGGGCCAGGCTCCAGGTTGCCTACCCACTCTTTGTTGCCCATCCCTCTTGTAGACTTCTAAAAGAAAAAGTGTCTCTAACTGCAATGTCAACTAGTCCATATCACTAGTTGTAGTGGTAATATCCCCAGGTGTTTATCCCCCAGTGATAAAAGTATTTTTGAAAGGCTTATCATTACATGTACACTAATCTAGCTTGTTATTAACAATAGTATCCTCATCTTTAATACAGAACAGTATCAGGGCAGCTTGGTGGCACAATGGATAGAGCACCAGCCCTGAAGTCGGGGGGGACTTGAGTTCAAAATCAGCCTCAGACCAAACACTTGACACTTACTAGCTGTGTGATTCTGGGCAAGTCACTTCACCCCAATTGCCTAAAAATAAAAAAAAAAAATACAGAAAGGTATCTGTTAACATATCAAGTAAAGAACACAACCAGTGGTCTCTCCTTTGTATACAGATGAAAACAGTAACAATTACTCTTCCAATTGTTTTCTGGAGTTAAGTCTTTTATTCATAGAAACCTTGTATAGTGACATTCTGACACTTTTAAACCTACTATAGAGCAAGATGCCAAAATTCCTCACTCTACAAAATGCTGCTGAGAAGGGATTCTTTCATTTACCATCATGACATACTTCCAAAATACACACAAATAGTCCAGTTTTCTTTTTGTCCAAGAGTGTGGGGACTTAAGATTGGCTATATGCATAAATATTTGCAACTACTTAAAAGATACAAAAAGCAAGCAATCAATAAAATTACTGTCTGCTGTCTCTGAAAAATGGTAAGAGTTCTTCTAACTTCAGCCATATTGCCAATCTTAGTTTACTCTTATCTTATTTGAGGAAAGGATGAAGATTTGAAGGGATAACCAATCTCCTAGCTTCTCCAAGAACCTACTATATTAAGAAAAGCTTAATAAATAATTTTTCATTCATTCATTCCTTTGTTCATTCCTCATTCATTAAGGTATTCAAAATCAAAGACCCACCCTCTTTTCCTTTTGGGAAATTCCAGGTTTCATTTCTGTAGTGTTTATGGTCAGAAACACTGCAAAAAGAAAAAAAAAGCAACTTTTAAGGGACCTTAGGATCAATATTCTTCAACTTGCACTATTTCATTATCATTTAGCATTAGAAAACTTCCTCTAGTCTCAGCAACATTTGAAAAACATGAGCCACCACATAATGATGGTATGAAATTAATAGCTCTTATTGCCCCAAGATTAAATGAGTATGTCACCCTAGAAAACAATTGAGTAGATGAAATAGAAAACTTAGGGTCAGGAATAAATCAATCAGCCAAACAAATATTAATTAAGCACTTCACAGAATCACAGAATTTGAATTCAATGCCTGTCTTGTCTAACCTACACTATAATACACCAAACAATTGGTCATCCAGATTCTTATATCCAAGCACTGTGCTAGGTGCTACTGGTAAAAAATCAAAATGTAAACAATGCCTATCCTCAAGGGTCTTATATTCTATTGGGGAGACAACCTGCCCATCCAGAAGTTCAGTGTATATTTTATGAGTACAGGACAACATGAACTTATATAAATACAAGATGCCAAAGTGGTGCAATGGGAAGAGTAAAAAAGAGAATCTGGGTTCAGATCTCAATTCTGCCACCTGTCTATGGGAACTCGGTCAAGTCACAACCTCTCTGGACCTCAGTTTCCTTATTTGTAAAATGAGAATAGATGCTCCAACTGAAGTGTCTTCTGGTTCTAACTTTATGATCTTCTAAGGATGTAGAAAATAAATGCAAGGTCAATTTCCGGGAGTGTCACCAGTTTTTGGGGGATCAGTAAAGGAAACAATTACATAATGGCCAGGCTTCTAGTACTCTAAGTGACCATTTTTGATGTGTCTGCTAGATTTATCTTTTGGTGTTCTCAGGAAAACAGAATTTTGAGCTGGAAGGGACTTTATAAACCATCTGATCCAATCTTTACATTTTATAAATGAGAAAGAAGTGAAGTCCAGAAAAGTGATGTGACTTTTCCCAGACCACATAATTTGCTAATTTCAGAATTCTGGTGTCCTGAGTCCAATTTGCTTCTTTCCCCACTATATCCTTTCTCCTTACTTTATTTGGCTAAATATGCACATCCCATGTTTCTTAATGATGTAGTAAAATAGGTGGGAAATTCATTTGCATCACTTTTTATATCGATGTATCTTTTCTTCCTTAATGTGATGCTTGTCATCATTTTTCTATCTTTGGGTTGGCAGACATCGTGAATGATGTTTGGGCATGCACCTACTAGATGTCCAGAAAGACTTTGGTTATTATAGCTTTATGTTTGTTATAGAGCAGTGGGCTGGGAATCATGAAGACTCATCTTCCTGAGTTTAAATTTGGCCTTGGACACTTACTAGCTCTCTGACCCTGGGCAGGCCTCTTCACCCTGTTTGCCTTAGTTCCTCAACTGTAAAATGAGCTGGAAAAGGAAATGGCAAACCACTCCAATTTCTTTGCCAAGAAAACCTCAAATGGGGTCAGAAAAAGT